TGCACTAAGATTAACATGATAGGGTCATCAATTATTTTTGTTTGCAATGTTGTTTACTTTTATTTTTTACTTGTATTTACTTTTATTTTTGTTTAAGTGTTTAAACTTTTTAAGGATTTCTATTTTAATGAGTCTGTATTTTATGTGTTTAAGTACTGTTTTAATTTATACAAAGGCCTTATATTTTAGGGATATGAAAAAAATATAGTATTTGATGTATTTTTCTTTTTCTTATTGATTGTTCTTGGAAACCTTAGAGTACTTAAGCCTTTCAACCTTTAATTTCCAGTCACCAGATAAAAAATTAGTTGTTTTTTATCTGGTTGTTTATTTCAGATAAAAAATTAGATGTGATATTTCTGCAACATTAGTATACATTGGGGCCATTAGTTTTATGTTCTGTCACATTGGAGCTCTACTGTGGGTAGGAAAGAAACATCAGAACTGGCCTTTTTTGTTAAGATTATTACTTTAGATTTTGCATTTGATGTAAAACAAGAGAAATCATCTTGTTTCATTTCAGTAAACACAGAAAGTGTAAGAAACTCTTCTCTTCTGATATTGGTTCTTCTTTCCAGAGCCCTGCTCTGGTATGTTTAACATGTGAAGTGCTGAACCTCTGCGCTCGAGGATAGAGGCATATGAATCGAGATTGCACTTCTCTCTGGCAGATGTAATTTTCAGAAATTATGACTATTTTATATGTGTTGAGATGTGGTGTATTTGCATCTAAAAAATCATCTATTCTGGAAACTGTCTTAAGTAAATATATTTTCTTTTTTATATAAAGATTTATTTTTTTATTTGAGAGAGAGAGAGAGAGCACGAGCTGGGGTGGGGGTGGTGTAGGGCAAAGGGAGAAGCAGACTCCCCGCCGAGCAGGGAGCCTGACTCAGGGCCTCTATCCCAGGATCCCAGGATCATGACCTGAGTCAAAAGCAGACACTTGACCAACTGAGCCAGCCAGGCAGCCCAGAAATATTTTCCTTTCACCTAGTATTTGTTTAACATGAAAAAGATGTTTTACACTCATTTCATGTTTTGGTGAATTTAGTTCTTGAAAGTGAAAGCTAATAACAGTGTTCATTTATGAATCACTCTGCACTCAGTGACGGGAGGTCTATATATCAATTTTATCAAGGTTTTCCTAATTTATTCACAACCTATGTAGCCAGTAAGTAGCATTTCTTCCTACACTCAGGGGAAGCTTGTTGCACTTAAAGCACAACCCTCCTGTTTAAAAGCTGTACAGTTTCTGTTAGTTGTGCTCTGTTCTTTGGTTCAGAAATTGCCTTGAAATAGTTAAAACTACAACACACAAGGTATGTTATAAAATGATGAAAATAATACAATATTCATGACTATAGTACTAGAAATAATTCAGATGAGCTTTAATTCCTGATTTTCCATTTCTTAATTTTTCCATGTTAATGAAGACCTAACTTATATTTTGTATGTATCAGAAATTCAGAGGTACTGATTTTCTTGTATTTATAAACTGCTGTGCGTAAATCTGTTTATTGCTATATTATTATTTTCTAAGAAAATACTGCCCGAATTCGCTCAGCAGAAGCAGCAGACTATAGTACTTACAAACTCTCTATTAAGTCTTTTTTTCTCCTGTAAGTTTTCTCCACATATAATAAGCCGGGTCTGCAGAGTAAGGGCTAGCAAATGCACCTTCACGGGTAACCACCGCAGTTTGAAGTGGCTGCAAGGGATGTGTGATGATCAAGAAGTTGAATCAAGATCCAGGTTATGTATTTTAATTTCCACATTTTTACCACTTTGAGTGTTACTTCATCTCCCTCTTTCCCGTGGGGGCATGCTGAGGTTTCCCTCCCACTTTTCATCAGTGGATTGTCGGTGTTCTGGGTGCGGGGCAGAGAGTGAGTTTGCGTGCTGCTGCCCTAGGACTCCCCTGAAAGTGTGGCCGCAGAGACTGTCACGGGAGACTCTTCCTCACTTGGCCCCAGCCCAGCTTTCCAGCCTCATCGGCCGCCTCCACGTGCCCTGCCGTTCTAACGTGTCCCTTCTTCCCGCAGCTCCTCAGGCTGTTGGTTCCAGCAGACAGGAGTCATCCTCCTGGGGGCCTCACCTCTCCCTACCCTACGCTGTCGGTCCAGGTCAGCGCAGATGCAGCCACCATGAAGCCACCCTTGGTCCCTCCCTCCCCAGTCGGGAAGCAAGCAGCTGGATGAGAGAAACAGGCAACGCTGAAGGCTCTCTCTCGGGGCACGTAAAACAATCGAGGTCGGCTAAAGCATAGGAGGCATGTCAGGTAGTGGCCAGAGGTAAGGCCTGAAAAGGTGGCCTGGGTCTGGCTTTGGAAAACCGTGACTGCTCCACTCTGGAGATTTGTGTGGTTTAAGAGGAGACTGACATGGTCAGCTCTGGGCCTCAGAAAGCAAGCCAGTGTGGGGCTTTGCTCATGAGCCCACTTGCAGAATTTCTTGGCGTTCTGCTTTGCGTTGCAGTGGAATCTGGGTGCTGGGAAAGCAGAACCAGGGTAACATCTGATTGCCTGACAAGTTAGGTCAGCATTTCTCATCATCTGCCCTCCAGTCTTTGTCAGAGTCACTTGGGGAACTTGTCAGATGTGAAGGTTTCTCGAGCCCCAACGCAGATCTTCTGAATCAGACCAGAGGGAGGAGCGGCCCCTGAGTGGGCATTTCAGAGGATCTCAGGGTTATTCTAAAACAGGCCGAACTCGGAGCGTCTGCTTTGGTCTGTAACACGATACACCCCAACATGTAGCCATCTGATCAGCCCCTTCCATCTACCTCACCAGGAGCTGGTTAGAAAGGCAAATTCGTGGGCTCCATCCCAGAACCAGTGAAGCGGAGTCTGGGGGTGGGGGCGCAGGAATCTGATTTCTCCAGGCAATTCTCGCGCACACGAGTTAGAGAACCTCTGCTTTAATGAATGGATGTCTCTGAAGAAATAGACCCACGATTTCAAACACCCAGGACAGGTATCTGTGTAAACTTGTGTGTGTAGGAAATGCCCCTGGAAGTTTATGTTTAAATGAGAACCAGGGGTTCCAGAAGAGTAGTGGAAGATTAAGGCAACTCTGACTTCTTGAGAGTCAGACTGAACCATGAAATGACTCAAGTGGAACATAGTTGTTTTTACTGCAGACTTGCCTTAGCAGAGAGCCCTTGGTAGAATTTCCATCAGAAATGTTCATGTTTTTACTTTTACACTTTCCATTGGGTTCAAGCCTGGGGACCACACACGTATGGCTGGACATGAGCCACCAGCAGAGGGGCCAATTTCTTACATTAGTGTGTCTCAATTTCCAAAGTGTGACATGTCTGTTTAGGTTGAAACCTCTCAAAGACCTACAGCCGCCACCACCCTGAGCCTGTCAAACCACACAGCACCCACTATCTTGAAATGGGCTGAGGGAGCTGAATGGCTTTGCCAATGATTCTGACAAGTCATGGGGGGAAGGTAGGCCTGGAATTCACCTCTCTTGTTCTCTAGGCTCATGTGGATTGTGGGGTGGGACCTTCCTACTTAGAATTGATCCCCTTTGACATTTGAAATCCAAGGCTTTTGAAAGGGGAAGCAACTCTTCTTCCATGGTCCCCTCTCTCAAGGTAAAGCAAATTTAGCATCTTCTACATGTTTTCTACTGTTTTGACATTGTCCCTCCAAATGCCATATTTCCAAGATGGCGTAGAGGAAAATACACAAGGGTGAACGAACCTGAACTCTCCTTCTACCTTAGCCATTCACCTGTAGTGAGTGTAGTTTTGGATGAGGGATTCTACCTTTTTCTTGACCTCAGTTTTCTCTTCTGTAAAATGGGGGCAATTACAGCCTGCCTCATGCTATGGCATGAGGCTTATGATATTCTGAGCATGATACCTCTGATACACAGTAGATGTTAAATGGCAAATATTAAATTTTTCTCTCCCTTTTTCTACTGTGCTGTCTTCTTAAATGGCAAGAATGACACACGTGTTTCTTAATATCATTACTTTTCCAGCAATTTTGAAGTCCCCCTTCTATATCCTACCTTAGGTGTGGGAGGGACTCAGAATCAATTCTATTGATCAGTGGTCCTCGAGTCTAGTTCAGGAACCAGCAGCATCAGCATCACCTTGGAACTTACTCGAAATGCAGACCCACTTCAGACATACTGAATCAGACTCTGAGGGTGGGGCCAGGCCTTGCATTTCCTGAAGGCCACCAGCTGACACAGGTACCCACTCACTTTATTGGTTTGTCTAAAAGCACTCACTCTGCAGCCAGGTACATGAGTTCCTTCCTAAAACTCCTACCGCAAAGGTGTTCTACAACCGGTAGGGAGAAAATCTAGGCTTTTTACTAAGGCTTTAAATCTCCACAAAATTGGATATCTGGCTAATTTTTCCAACTGGTGTCCTGCTCCCACTCCCCTTTACGCGTCCCACTGTAGCCCCAACAGCCTTTTTCTTGTTCCTTGAGCACACCAAACCCATTGCAGCATCAAGATGTCTGTCATTACTATTTGCTTTGCCTGGAATGCGCCTCCTGACTTTGATCTCTCCCTTTCTCCAGGTGTCTCCTGGAACGTCCCCTCCTCAGAAAGGCCTTTCTTGACTATGATCCCTAAATTCCTCCTCCCCATCCCCATCACTTGGGTTAGCTATTTTCACTTTAGTTTTCTTTTAACCATTCTTTAAGGGGTAGATATATTTAGAACAAATTCTTTTTCTTCATCCGAGAATGTCTCTCTCCCCCTCCGTTCCTGAAGGATAGTTTTGCTGGATATAGAATTTGGAGTTCTTTTCATTCAGCGCTCGAGAGATGTCGCGTGCTACTTCTGTCTGGCTGCCGCAGTTACAGATGAGAAGTCTGGTTTGACCGGTGCCCCTGTAGGTAGTGTCTTATTTCTCTCTGGCTGCTTTCAAGCTTGTTTCTTTGTCTTTAGTTTTCAGAAATGTAATTATGTGTCTTGCCATGGATTTTCTTGGGTTTCTCCTGTTTGGAGTTTTCTTCACTTCTTGAATCTGTCTTATTTCATCAGAAGCTCAGCCCCATCCTTTTTCTCCTTCTAAGACACTGATGACGTAAATGTTGGGTCTTTCGTCATAGTCCCACAGGTCCTTGAGGTTATGTTAAAGTTTCGTTCAGATTGGGTAAATACTCTTGCTCCGTCCTCAAGTTCGCTGATTTGGTCCTGGCATCTCCGTCTGCCATGGAGCCCATCCAGTGAGGCTTTTTTTTTTTTTCCCAATTCTGTAATTTCCATTTGGTTCTTTTGGTATGACTTCCATTTCTTTATTGAGATCCCTATATTTTGATTGTTGTGGGAAGATTTGTTACTGATTGTTGAAGCTTTTTTATGATGGCTGCTTTAAATCCTTTTTTGAATAATTCCAACATTTGCTTCATCTTGCTGTTAGCATCAGTTCATGGTCTTTTCTCATTCAGGTGTTACTTCTCTGGTTCTTGGTCCGGCAGGTGATTTTCCCTTGAATCTTGGATATTTTGGCTAAGTCCTATGTAAATCTTTAAGTTTATCATATAGTCACCTGCTTAGGTTTAGCATGCAGGTCCTGGTCTACAATTGTGGAATTAGGTTCTAATGGCAATTTAATGTCCAGAGGCTTTGTGGTGCTGTTCTGATCTGCTCGGTTTCTGTGGTGCCACTGGCACTCTCAGGGCCCTGACAGTGCGGCCAGGAGGAGCAGGAGATTCCTCGGGCCAGAGCCGTCTGGTACGTCTAAGTGGGAGAAGGGAATCTGGCTCATAGGAACAGAGGTGCTTCTTACGGTGGATCCCCCTCCGGCTGTCAGCTAGCCACCCCACTGTCTCCCAGCGCAGAGGCGTCTTGGCACCAGTGAGGCCTTTTACTGTCAGTGCGGCTCCTACACCACACACCTTTGCCACTGTCGCTGTGCTGGCGTGGTGCTGTGGGCAGGACGTGCACGGCATCCCAGGGCAGTAAACCCACTCGTACCGCCTGCGGCTGCTAGAGTCAGCCTGGGCTGCCTCTTTCTGTTCTGCTGCGGAGTTGCTCATCCAGGCTCGGGGTCTCTAACCTGTTTGCTTTCCTCTTTCCAACTTCCAGAGTATTTCTTTATTTGACTCTTGTATTTTTTCTAGGGATTACAGTTGTACTTTGGAGGGAGAGGCAAGGAGAAACAGGTCTAGGCCATGTCGTCTGTACCTGGAGTCTCCTCATTTAATGTTACTAGATTGGCTGGCTGGGGCCTGCCTGTATCGTACACACCTACTAGCTTATAACCCTTGTATCTTCCCGATTAAGTGTGAAAATCTTCCAAGATCAACGAATCCTTGTAAAGGGCATTGCACTGTGTAGCTAAAGCATAAAATCCAGTTGGTTTTCTCTAACTGAACTTTTAAGTGTAAGGGGATTTTTAGCCTCCCCATATTTCTATCTTTTTATTTTTTTTCCATTGAAATCTTAAACCTACTTTTGAGGAGCAGTCAAATCCTGAGAATCAGTGTGAGGGAAAGAAGACCTGAAAAGAGAAAGACTTAGAAAGAAATGGTTCAACATAGCATATCTGTTCCCTGGGGGCTGAAGTCCACCTACGCATGGGACAGAATTCAGAACCCTGCGGAAGAGCTGCTGTCCCGGGAGTTGATGTCACATGCCCATGACATAGAACATGGGGCTGGACGGTGGCTGCGCTTCGAAAGCGAGTTCTTCGACCTTGGATCTTAATTCCTTCTAGCAAGGATGATTCGATCCTTCCTTCTCAAATTACAGGTTTCATAAAATATCCTGTTCCCTCAATTAAAAAAAATTTTTTTTTAATAGTTGGCCTTCAGATCTGGACAGTTTAACTAGAGTAAGTATGTTACCTTGTTTATGCTTCTTCCTTCCTGGCTCACTGTTCCCTAATTTGAGTGTTAAACAGTTTGCTGAGTCCAGACAAATTTTCCTGGGAGGATTGAGGAGGAAAAATGTCCAAAGGGCCTGTGGTCTCCTGGAGAGACAGAATGAAGGTCAAGGGCTCCTAGAATCTCCTTAAACCGTAATATGGCATGACGGGGTGTCGGTGGGAGAATGAAACACGGTTTTCCCTTAACCCACATCACTTACGATGTGGGTTTGCAGATTCACAGCATTGCACAGCAGGACATTTTGAAAAAAGACATTTCCTTAGTCATTCCCAGAAAATATTTTAAACTTGATGAACAGCAAGGGGTCATTCCTGACTCTCTCAGTGACTATATGTCGGGAGGCCCAGGTGTTTGGGAATAAAGCTACCTGCACGAGGTCTTAATTGTAGCTACACACCGCTGCCTGTGAAAAGGAAAAAGATTCTTCCCAATTTCTCTCCTGATTTCCTTTTCTCTAGACTGTGCATTCAGTCGCTTTCCATCCACAAAGAAACCCTTTCCCTGCCACGGCCAGCTGCCTGGGAGCATTCACACACGCTTACACGTGGAAGGCTCTGTGGTTTGGGGCTCCTGGATCCCCCGCTGATGGAAGCGCACTGAGGCGGCGAGGCGGCTGGGTGGGGAGGGAGGCCACACTCACTCCTTGCTAAGTGGCACTTCTCTGCCCAGGTGTGTGTGACATGCTTGACCTCAAGATTATAATTGCCATTGGTGGCGGCTTACTGATTGTCATATTTGTGCTGATGGGTGTTGTCATCTGTCTTTACTACAAACCAGCCGAGGAATTGCAGTGATGTGGGTAAGGGTGAAAAATACCCCCTCAAATAGGATACCTGGGGCTCTCTGCTTGAGCAAGGTCATTCCTTGCCCTGTGCCTGCACCCAGAGTGAGGTCAGGAACAGCAGGTAGGTTTGAAAAGATAAAAGCAGGTGAGTGTAGAATCTTGTTTTTTTCCCCTTCTGGCTTAGGGCTGTGAGCTCATGAGTAGAATGTTCTCAGCTGGGTGGCTCCGTGCTGCTTTGCTCCACTTACCCTCCCAGAGTGGACCCCCAGCTGGTTTACTCAGCACACTGGCTGGGCCCTCCCTCCGTCCCAAGCACTGCAGTCCGTGGGGGAGGCTGTGAATGAGTCTGTGCCTCGGATTCACTCAGAGGACAGGCTGACTGGATCTCCTCTTAGCTGAGTTGGGGAGCTCTCACGGTGTTCTCTCATTCACTGTGCATGGCCTTGGGGACAGGGAGGCGGGCCTGTGGGACTGTGGGGAAGCTGAGCTGTGTGAAGATCCTGGGGGACACCTGACAAAGGAGTATAGACAAAAGATAATTAACTTCGGGGGAGAGGAACCTTCAAATCTGGGAGAGATGGGTCGTTAGAAGCAGTGCTGTTCCCATGCTAGGGAAGTTAAGCCTGGGAGCTAGAAGATGAATCCCAGAATGTTGGGGGGACAGCCAAGTGCGGCCCCTTCCCGGTCACGCTCTGCACTTGGATGGGCCTGCAGCGATCAGCTGGGTGATCCACACTTGCAGTTTGCTCTCCCTTGTTTGCTGTGACCTGATTCTACATTTCTAGCATCCTAGGAGAGGAAGCGATTAGACGGGAGCTTGGGACAGGGGCAGAGAGCTCTAGTTTCGGGCTACTGTTATGTATTTGATTGGCTCTAGGCCTAAACTTCACAGATACCCCTGATAATTGTGACCAGTGGACTGAGAAGAAAAATTCTAATCCCATGCTTTGTGTATGTCTTTTCTTAAGACCTTCAAAGGCACCTCTTTGTTTGGCCTTAAAGAGTAATCCAGCCATGCTCACTCAGGACAAGGTCGCCGCGGCTGCAGCCCTCACCACTGGGTCCTATCCCAACGTCCAGTGCTGTGACGAATGTAGCTTGTATGCTGACTATGACCGCCTGCCACCGTGCTTCTGTGACGTAAATGAGGGACTCTGACTTGGGCGGGCACAGGTATCTTCATGCGCAGTATTTCTTTCCCAGTAGAATTTATTATTCAAGTCAGGTTCAAATAGTGTTTACATCATATTATATACTCTGTCACATTATGTATTTTTGAATAAATGTGCAATACTGAAAATAATCCTCTCTGCCTGCAGTATTTTTGTTGGTGATGATGGTTATGTACTTAAATTACTTAAATTTTTGTACTACCCACATTGAGTCTTGGGGCAACTAGCTTGTAATATCATATTGCAGGAAAGGAGAGTTAGAGTAGAAAAGAAAAAGGGCACGTAAACAACTTCACAGGAAGGGGTACTGTGTTAGGTGCTTGGGATAGAAAAATCAAAGCCTTTGAAAACTAAGTTTAGACTAAGCTTCACAGCAGACAGGGCCAAAAGGGAAACACGGCATTTCTGAACGAGACAAACTTTTTCCTGATTACTACTGGTGATTCATTCTGCTTGGATTTTATTACCTGGATCCCTCTCTTTGAGACTCTGAACCCTCTTCCTTTGGGTTTTACAAAGACTCAACCAGTTTTCAACCCCAGGAGGTGCTAACATCTGAGGGCCCACTGTCAAACCAGACACTTACTTCTTCCAGGCCCTTGGGCACGAAGTTGGCTCTGCAGATGTAGGGTTTCTGTAGGGAGATCGCCTCCCGTGGGCAGAATTGAACTCTTCTCCCGACCCGTGCCACAGCCTCAGGAGGGGGTGCAGGAGTCTGAGGGTAAAGAGGAGACTCCTGGGAGCAGAGTAGGAGCTGTGGAAGAGGCACAGGGATGGAATCTGAGCCAAGTAAGGGGGTTCACAGGGTTACTCCTAGGAGCCTGGGACCCAGGCCCCTTTCTGGCATCAGAGATGCAATTTTGTAGGCATCAGGGGTTAGTCACAGGATGGACACTTGGCAAGATAAGTGATGTGGCTGCAAGTCCCTGTGGGTGTGACTTCTAAGGAATTTGCCACAGAGAAAACACGCCCCTGTCACCTGGATCACAACACCAAGTTCCAACTGCCTAATTCGGAACACGAGCCACCCCCCACCACCTCTGTTACACCTCCGGACTTCATCACCACTCCTAGATGTCATTCAATGTGCATTGCCAGGAACGTAGTATTTAGGGCATAAAATGAAAAACAAACAAACAAAAAAAAAACCTTCCTCTCTCTAAATTGCCTGCAACTGAATTTCTTTACAGACATTCCAGCTCAGAGCCAGAGCATTCTAGCTCACAGAATCAGAGGCTCGGACAGGGATGGGAAAGGAGAACATTTCTGAAGGCCCACAAAGGTCAGGTGGTGCAGAGAATGGGACTGGGGTGGGGGGCAAGGTGAGCAAGATCACAGAGCCAGCCCTGGGTCCTGATCTGCCCTGACTTGCAGTGGAGCATGGAAGTCACACCTGCTCTCCGAGCTTGGTGTCCGCTTCTGTTTAAAAGAGCCTTGAGCCACTGTATCTCCATTGGAACTCAAAAGGTTACTTGGGAACACACTGGATGATAGTGAGGTCAATAGCTGAATGTGGGTGATCAGAGGGGCACCTGGGTGGCTCAGTCGGTTAAGCATCTGCCTTCAGCTCAGGTCATGATCTCAGGGTCCTGGGATCGAGCCCTGCATTGGGCTCCTTGAGTCTGCTTCTCCCTCCCCCCTGCTCATGCTCTCTCTCAAATAAATAAAATATTTTTTTAAAAAATAGTAATGGAAAGAATTTAACAGGGTTTATTCCTGTGTCTTGAGTTTACTGCTGTGTTTGAATTTAGAGGTTTGGGTGAGCAAAGCTATTACCATGTTGACAAAGTTCATTTTGGGGTCATTGCCCATGACACCTAATGGGTTCCAGGCTTTCTGTTAGGCACTTATTCCAGAAATAAGAATCTGCTGCTCTCAGGTGCTCATAAACACCTTGAAAAGAGCCCACAAAGCACCATACCCTCTAGGACTTACCAGAGTGATCAAATCACCTTGGGCCTTGTGGGGCCCAAGAGATGAGGTGGTCAGGTCTAAAGGAAGTATGCCCACAGCCTGGTTCCCTCCCAGGGACCGTGCTCATTCAGGCCACATCCTGCAGCTTAGATGGGGCTTCTTCTCTACCACCCTGAAGCCGCCGGCTTCACAGAATGGTGGAATGGCCTTTCGAAGACCCCACAGTAGCTGGGTGGCAGTAGCTCACAGATCTGGGGGCAGGGTTCTCCAGGAGGAGGTGTGTGCTCTGAATCTGCGTCCAGGAGTCACAGCTGCAGGAATCAAGGGGAGGACATGGGAGTGGCCCCACTCCCCCTTACCTCTAGCACCATCACTCCCAGCAAAAGCTTTGTTTCCTGTTCCGGCAACTTTTTGCTCTGCTGGCCAGGCTAGAGGTCTTAGCTCCAAAGGAGGAACGCTTCTGCTAGGAGATACAATGATTCCATTGAGCTGTCAGTTAGGACTGCCACCCGGCCACTCTGGGCCACCCAGCCTTGGGAGTCCACGGGCCAAGAAGGGGAGTTACGGTACTGGCAGGGGTGACTGACCCAGACTTCCCAAGGAGAAACTAGATGCCACAATGGAGGTGAGGAGTAGGTCTGAAAGGGTATCCCTTCGTGATACCACACTCTAGGATTAAAGTCAATGGAAAACAACAACGACGCAATCCAGGCAGGACTACTCATGGCCTAGACCATTCGGGAATGCAGGTTTGTGTAATCCTGCTGATGAATGCAAAGGGAATGCAGAATGAGCAGGAGAAGGCAGTTATAATCCCACCTCCTGCCACGGGATCAATTACAGAAACAAGGACTAATTAACATGAGTATTTCCTCATTTATTATGAACATGCTGGTGTATATATACATACACATATGTATTTATGTATACATATACATAATACATATATTAAGCAAATATCTTTGTTTTCTTTCTTTTACTCCCAGATCACGTAACATAACGGGTATTGACTTTATATCAGTATTTAAGTACTATTTAATTTTGTATCGTAGTATTTAAGTTACAGGATACCAGAAAAAGAGTAAACATCAGTGAACTGTTCACCTCCTCTTCTGGGGAAGGAATCAGTGTTTTCCCTCTGCCAGTCCCCCTCCCCCTCCCAGGAGAGTGACCACAGGCTCCCACACTCAGTGAGGGTGGCTCAGGGAGCTAGCAGATCACATCCATATAGGAGACAGGGAGAGGCTTTAGTAAGAAAGTGGGGGTAGGATGGGGGTCTGTGGAAACAGCTGAGGGTGAGCGGCCCTTAGTAATCAGAAGGGTCCCTACCCTATACTTCTGCCCCCTGCTCACTCTCACACCAGGACACCCAGTCCCACCTGGTACGTGGCCAGCCCCAGGAGTCTCTGAGCCGATAGGAACCAAGTGGAGCGGTGCCAGGTACCTTGGTGAGTGTCCAAGCTCCTTGTGAGCACAACTTCCCAATGTCACAGGTGCTGGCCTTGCCACTGTGGTACGGGTATGAAGCCAAATACTTTATCTGGGGCCCTAACTAGGAATGGTATCCCCCGAGTCACTGCATAGAGTTGTGTCCTCCCCAAGAACCCCAGTAGCCTTAGAGCCCAGTGATGGGTTCTCGGCTGCAGGATGGTCAGTCTATCACAGAAGGGTTGAGGGCAACCAGAAAGGGTTTCAACCTAGAATATCCCGTCTGTACCTACTGCTTCCTCCTTATTCTAAGTTCCAATCGAATTTAGAATAAAATCCAAATTCCTCATCTGACCTACAGATCCTTCACCATTTGCTCATTATCTGCCTTTCCTTACCTTCCCTCCCATCTCCCTTCCCTTCATTGACCTCCACCACACTGGCCACACTGCCCTTATTTTATGCATGTGCTAAGTAAGCAACTTGCTGCTTCCTCAGGGCTTTTGCACTTGCTCTTTCTTTTGCCTTAATGCACCCCTCTAGCCCCGATCATACATGAGAGCCTCCCCCTTAACTCCCTGTTTGCTGAGATTTCATCTTCAAGATGCATTCCTTGGCCACTGTGATATTGCATTGCCCCCCTCCCCCGCCGCCCACCGCTGAGGCAGTCACTCTCTACCCCCTCACCTGCTGTATTATACCTTATTTATGGTATACGTATTATACCTACACCATAGCACCGCCCCTTATTGGAATTTTTTGTTTATTTTTGTTGTCTGTCTCTCCCACTTAGAATATGAGTTCCATAAAGGCAAGACTGTGTCTCTCATGTTCAAGTATTCTCAAACCCTAAAACATTAACTAATGAATAACGGTTGAGAGAAAAAAAGAAAGGAGGCAGGGAGGGAGGAGAAAGGAGAGGGCAACACCACGTACTCACCTACTTGGTCTTCCCGGTCTCACCTTGGACACCAGGATTCCTTTCTACCATCTGCAAAGCGTAGTGCTTAATCCACCCACTTCGGGCTCTGTGGACATAATGGTTTGAAATTCCCGGCAACTGAATCTGGACCTGCACTTTCTTTTTCCTCCCCATCCTGTGCCACCCCCTCCTCAGTGCTAGCACCCTGGCTGGATATCTGAGCAACCCTGCTGGACCCAGGGTTTGCCCAGGTGCCATACTACCTGCCTTTAGAACCCAAAGTCTTTAATTTTTAGAGAAGAGCAGGGAAGGCTTAAGATAGCAGTAGCGCTACCCGCTTCGTGATCTGCACAAACAAGAGGGCCACGGCTCAACTCCAGGTCGGTGCCCGGAAGAATTACTCGGTGCTTACTGTGCGCCACGTGTTGGAGCTCCCCTAGGAAGAGCTTTACTTGGGAACGTCCTGTGAATGTCCCAGGAATGAGTTGGGGAGAGCGAACACTCACTGTTCGGGATTGCTGATAATAAATCAGCCAGACAGCTGCTCTGTTCTCACGTACGTCTGGCCCTCGCATGGTCAAACTGACACATTCCCTGAAGGTCTCCAGAAAGCTCTGAAGCCAGATACGGAGCCCCGGGAAGTATAAAGCCTGCCCACCCTTCAGGCTGTTCTTCCCTTGACAACGATGGAGGCCATGAGAAGGCTTGTCCTCTCGGCCGTCTTCACTGTGCCATGTTTGGCGGAGTCGAACTGGACCAAGTCTGAAGGTAAGAACACTGAACATCCTGAAAGTAAGAATCAACACAGGGATATTCGAGAGGCACCTGCCAGAGATCTTTAGTTTTAAGACCTTCTGCTACTCTCAA